CTCCTCGATTGAAATGCATAATGCATACTGCTGTTTCTATCTCCTGGATTGAAATGCATAATGCATACTGGTGTTTCCGTCTGTTGGATTGAAATGCATAATGCATACTGCTGTTTCTATCTGCTGGATTGAAATGCATAATGCATACTGGTGTTTCCGTCTGCTGGATTGAAATGCATAATGCATACTGGTGTTTCCGTCTCCTCGATTGAAATGCATAATGCATACTGCTGTTTCTATCTCCTGGATTGAAATGCATGATGCATACTGGTGTTTCCGTCTGCTGGATTGAAATGCATAATGCATACTGGTGTTTCCGTCTGCTGGATTGAAATGCATAATGCATACTGCTGTTTCTATCTGCTGGATTGAAATGCATAATGCATACTGGTGTTTCCGTCTGCTGGATTGAAATGCATAATGCATACTGGTGTTTCCGTCTCCTCGATTGAAATGCATAATGCATACTGCTGTTTCTATCTCCTGGATTGAAATGCATGATGCATACTGGTGTTTCCGTCTGCTGGATTGAAATGCATAATGCATACTGGTGTTTCCGTCTGCTGGATTGAAATGCATAATGCATACTGGTGTTTCCGTCTCCTCGATTGAAATGCATAAAGCATACTGCTGTTTCCGTCTGTTGGATTGAAATGCATAATGCATACTGCTGTTTCTATCTGCTGGATTGAAATGCATAATGCATACTGGTGTTTCCGTCTGCTGGATTGAAATGCATAATGCATACTGGTGTTTCCGTCTCCTCGATTGAAATGCATAATGCATACTGCTGTTTCTATCTACTGGATTGAAATGCATGATGCATACTGGTGTTTCTATCTGCTGAATTGAAACGCATAATGCGTATCGGTGTTTCCGTCTGCTGGATTGAAATGCATAAAGCATACTGCTATTTCCGTCTGTTGGATTGAAATGCATAATGCATACTGTTTTTTCTATCTCCTTGATTTAAATGATTTCTTGGGTATTTTCTGTCTGCTGGATTAAAATGTATATACGTACTAGTGTATCTCTCTGCTGGATTGAAATGCTTAATGCATACTGGTGTCTCCGTCTGTTGGATTGAAATGCATAATGCATACTGGTTTTTCTATCTCCTTGATTTAAATGATTTCTTGGGTATTTTCTCTGTCTGCTGGATTAAAATGCATAATACATACTAGCGTATCTATCTGGAGGATTGAAATGCATACTGCATCCTGGTGTTTTTATCTGGGGAATTGAAACGCATAATGCATACAAGTGTATCTATCTGGTGGATTGAAATGCATAAAGCATACTGGTGTATCTCTCTGATGGATTGAAATGCATAATGCATACTGGTGTCTCCGTCTGCTGGATTGAAATGCATAATGCATACCGGTGTCTCCGTCTGCTGGATTGAAATGCATAAAGCATACCGGTGTCTCCGTCTGCTGGATTGAAATGCATGATGCCTACTGGAGTTTGTTGTATTTGAATGGTTGGAATGTAACTAGGCTAGGGCTGCCCAATTACCCGGGCCTGGACTCACAGCAGTCTGAACGTTAAGATCTCATTGTGAACCAGAGCCTTCCGAACAGATCACGTCGAAGGAGAATAATTATCAACACACTTGGAGTTCAAATAACCAGTTGAATTAATATGGGCAGATGGCTGGTTGCAGTCTACTATAGAGTGTAACGCGTAGATTGGGGAGGGGAAGGTTGGGGGGATGGAAGGGGGATGGGGGTGTCTGTACATATCGATATATATAGACATGACACATGCTGCGCTGTAGCATATCTAGTGGGTATCACGTGATGGTGTTCGAATAAATAAATTGTCCCTGAAAATTCTTGAAAACAAATTATGCTTCAGAACTGTTTTATCCTGCCACAAAAATGACATTGTCCGTGGTGTTTATCTTTAAAGAGATTCAAGTTGATACTTTTAGATATATAAAAAAAGATGTAATCTCGATACAAATTCCCAGAAACCCTGACACAAATCACCAATATTCTCCTGTATATTAACACTAATCACTAACATTAACACTAACACTAACACTAACACTAACACTAACACTAACACTAACACTAATCACTAACACTAATCACTAACATTAACACTAACACTAATCACTAACACAGAAAGGGTTATATTCTCCTGTATATTAACACTAATCACTAACACAGAAAGGATTATATATTCTCCGTGATGTTGGCACCATTGGGTGACATAGTATTATATTCTCCGTGATGTTACCACCATTGGGTGACATAGTATTATATTCTCCGTGATGTTACCACTATTGGGTGACATAGTATTATATTCTCCGTGATGTTATCACTATTTGGTGATACAGTTTTATATTCTCCGTGATGTTACCACTGTTGGGTGACATAGTATTATATTTTCCGTGATGTTATCACTATTTGGTGACATAGTATTATATTCTCCGTGATGTTACCACTATTGGGTGACATAGTATTATATTCTCCGTGATGTTATCACTCTTTGGTGATACAGTTTTATATTCTCCGTGATGTTACCACTATTGGGTGACATAGTATTATATTTTCCGTGATGTTATCACTATTGGGTGATATAGTATTATATTCTCCGTGATGTTACCATTGTTGGGTGACATAGTATTATATTCTCCGTGATGTTACCACTATTGGGTGATATATGGTATTATATTCTCCGTGATGTTACCACTATTTGGTGACATAGTATTATATTCTCCGTGATGTTATCACTCTTTGGTGATACAGTTTTATATTCTCCCTGATGTTATCACTATTGGGTGACATAGTATTATATTCTCCGTGATGTTACCACTATTGCATGACATAGTATTATATTCTCCGTGATGTTACCACTATTGGGTGACATAGTATTATATTCACCGTGATGTTACCACTATTGGGTGACATAGTATTGTATTCTCCGTGATGTTACCACTATTGGGTGACATAGTATTATATTCTCCGTGATGTTATCACTATTGGGTGACATAGTATTATATTCACCGTGATGTTACCACTATTGGGTGACATAGTATTATATTCTCCGTGATGTTATCACTATTGGGTGACATAGTATTATATTCTCCGTGATGTTATCATTATTGGGTGACATAGTATTATATTCTCCGTGATGTTACCACTATTGGGTGATATAGTTTTATATTCTCTGTGATGTTACCACTATTGGGTGACATAGTTTTATATTCTCCGTGATGTTACCACTATTGGGTGACATAGTTTTATATTCTCCGTGATGTTACCACTATTGGGTGACATAGTATTATATTCTCCGTGATGTTGTCACTATTGGGTGACATAGTATTTAATCATCCAAAACTGGCTCCCAGAGGAGATATCGCTTGGATGAGATCAAGCGATATCTACACTGTAGATATTGCTGCAATGAAATTACATCACAATGCTTTGCAGACCATTGTGACGTCACTGGTTACCATGACCTCACAATCAAATGAAATCACTAATGGCTCTGCTACTGAAGCCGTTTTCAGTACTTTTTATACTGAAGAAACGGCTAATTACTGTCTACAAATTGAAAAAGGTTGAAAGAATGATGTTGGATGATAAATAAAATCTCACCCTCGTGTCTTTTGATATCAAATATATCAACACTCGTTGATAAAAGTGGCAAAAATCCTCGGCAAGCCCGGAATTTTTCCACTTTTATCAACTCGTGTTGATATATTTGATATCAAAAGACACACGGGTGAGATTCTCTATATATTATCCGTGATGTTATCACTATTGGGTGATATAGTTTTATATTCTCCGTGATGTTAACACTATTGGGTGACATAGTATTATATTCTCCGTGATGTTATCACTATTGGGTGACATAGTATTATATTCTCCGTGATGTTAACACTATCGGGTGACATAGTATTATATTCTCCGTGATGTTATCACTATTGGGTGACATAGTATTATATTCTCCGTGATGTTACCACTATTGGGTGACATAGTATTATATTCTCCGTGATGTTATTACTACTGGGTGACATAGTATTATATTCTCCGTGATGTTACCACCATTGGGTGATATAGTTTTATATTATCTCTGATGTTATCACTATTGGGTGACATAGTATTATATTCTCTGTGATGTTACCACTTTTGGGTGACATAGTTTTATATTCTCCGGGGTGTTACCACTATTGGGTGACATAGTATTATATTCTCCGTGATGTTATCACTATTGGGTGACATAGTATTATATTATCCGTGATGTTACCACTATTGGGTGACATAGTATTATATTCTCCGTGATGTTATCACTATTAGGTGACATAGTATTATATTATCCGTGATGTTACCACTATTGGGTGATATAGTATTATATTATCCGTGATGTTACCATTATTGGGTGATATAGTATTATATTCTCCGTGATGTTATCACTATTGGGTGACATAGTATTATATTATCCGTGATGTTACCACTATTGGGTGACATAGTATTGTATTCTCCGTGATGTTATCACTATTAGGTGAAATAGTATTATATTCTCCGTGATGTTATCACTATTGGGTGATAAAGTATTATATATTATCCGTGATGTTACCACTATTGGGTGATAAAGTATTATATTCTCCGTGATGTTACCACTATTGAGTGATATAGTATTATATTCTCCGTAAAGTTAACACTATTGGGTGACATAGTATTATATTCTCCGTAATGTTATCACTATTGGGTGACATAGTTTTATATTATCTGTGATATTACCACCTTTGGGTGATATTGCATTACATTCTCCTTGATGTTAACACAAATAGGTAACACAGAAAGTGATAGATCCACCGTTATATTACTAATATCGCGTAATAGTACAGTATTATATTCTGAGTGATATTACCACCATTGCTGTAGGCTTTAAGAACTGTGCTGAGACAGAAATGTACAAGTACTCCGATATCTATACAATGCTTACAGCATCAGTTACAACTTCATGAAAAGTTCACTACTCACCAATCTACGAGATGTACATCGAGGTAGAAAATCCAAAACACAGACACGTGGTGAACAGAGTTTTACACTGGTGTCTTCAAGAACAGATGCACGTGTATACGGTGCACGCTGTAAACTGGGACTAACACCTGGACTGACTACTTCTGTCTGGCGCCACTCACATCTCAGTCCCAAGCAGTGAGCGCGTGGATGTGTCGACCGTCGGGTGTCGCGGCTGCAGTCGATGATGTCGCTATGCCCTCCCCTATAAGCTGAGCACGTCCCCCTCACACCTGTCAGGTAAACTGCTCCACGTGTGGCACCGGAGTCCAGCAGGGACGCCAGATTGATCACGGAGACTGTGTTGTCTACATTGCCATGGCAACCTATAGACTCTCCCACTGTCATATAGCAATTTGACCAATGAAATATGTATAAATTGGTTCTTTTTCCAGTAGGAGTAACTGGTACATAAATAATGCATATGTATTCAACTAAATTGCCCCGTACTGCTGCGGGGTATAGGGCAGGGGATGAGGAGGACAGCTGGTACAGTTATAACAGCTTCACTGTGTCGGGCATGGGGACACTGTGACACAAGTACACACGCTTCTCAACACTAACAGATGAGCACCTCTAACTGTGACACACGTACACACGCTTCTCAACACTAACAGATGAGCACCTCTAACTGTGACACACGTACACACGCTTCTCAACACTAACAGATGAGCACCTCTAACTGTGACACACGTACACACGCTTCTCAACACTAACAGATGAGCACCTCTAACTGTGACACACGTACACACGCTTCTCAACACTAACAGATGAGTACCTCTAACTGTGACACACGTACACACGCTTCTCAACACTAACAGATGAGTACCTCTAACTGTGACACACGTAACACACGCTTCTCAACACTAACAGATGAGCACCTCTAACTGTGACACACGTACACACGCTTCTCAACACTAACAGATGAGCACCTCTAATTGTGATACACGTAACACACGCTTCTTAACACTAACAGATGAGCACCTCTAACTGTGACACACGTACACACGCTTCTCAACACTAACAGATGAGCACCTCTAACTGTGACACACGTAACACGCTTCTCAACACTAACAGATGGGCACCTCTAACTGTGACACACGTACACACGCTTCTCAACACTAACAGATGAGCACCTCTAACTGTGACACACGTACACACGCTTCTCAACACTAACAGATGAGTACCTCTAACTGTGACACACGTACACACGCTTCTCAACACTAACAGATGAGCACCTCTAACTGTGACACACGTACACACGCTTCTCAACACTAACAGATGAGTACCTCTAACTGTGACACACGTACACACGCTTCTCAACACTAACAGATGAGTACCTCTAACTGTGACACACGTACACACGCTTCTCAACACTAACAGATGAGTACCTCTAACTGTGACACACGTAACACACGCTTCTCAACACTAACAGATGAGCACCTCTAACTGTGACACACGTACACACGCTTCTCAACACTAACAGATGAGCACCTCTAATTGTGATACACGTACACACGCTTCTCAACACTAACAGATGAGTACCTCTAACTGTGACACACGTACACACGCTTCTCAACACTAACAGATGAGCACCTCTAACTGTGACACACGTACACACGCTTCTCAACACTAACAGATGAGTACCTCTAACTGTGACACACGTACACATGCTTCTCAACACTAACAGATGAGCACCTCTAACTGTGACACACGTACACACGCTTCTCAACACTAACAGATGAGCACCTCTAACTGTGACACACGTACACACGCTTCTCAACACTAACAGATGAGTACCTCTAACTGTGACACACGTACACACGCTTCTCAACACTAACAGATGAGTACCTCTAACTGTGACACACGTACACACGCTTCTTAACACAAACAGATGAGCACCTCTAACTGTGACACACGTACACACGCTTCTCAACACTAACAGATGGGCACCTCTAACTGTGACACACGTACACACGCTTCTCAACACTAACAGTTGAGTACCTCTAACTGTGATACACGTAACACACGCTTCTTAACTCTAACAGATGGGCACCTCTAACTGTGATACACGTAACACACGCTTCTCAACACTAACGGATGAGCACCTCTAATTGTGACACACGTACACACGCTTCTCAACACTAACAGATGAGCACCTCTAACTGTGATACACGTAACACACGCTTCTTAACTCTAACAGATGGGCACCTCTAACTGTGATACACGTAACACACGCTTCTCAACACTAACGGATGAGCACCTCTAATTGTGATACACGTAACACACGCTTCTTAACTCTAACAGATGAGCACCTCTAACTGTGATACACGTAACACACGCTTCTTAACACTAACAGATGGGCACCTCTAATTGTGATACACGTAATACACGCTTCTCAACACTAACGGATGAGCACCTCTAATTGTGATACACGTAACACACGCTTCTCAACACTAACGGATGAGCACCTCTAATTGTGATACACGTAACACACGCTTCTTAACTCTAACAGATGGGCACCTCTAATTGTGATACACGTAACACACGCTTCTTAACTCTAACAGATGAGCACCTCTAACTGTGATACACGTAACACACGCTTCTTAACACTAACAGATGGGCACCTCTAACTGTGATACACGTAATACACGCTTCTCAACACTAACGGATGAGCACCTCTAATTGTGATACACGTAACACACGCTTCTTAACTCTAACAGATGAGCACCTCTAATTACGACAAATGTAATACACGCTTCTTAACACTAACAGATGAGCACCTCTAACTGTGATACACGTAACATACGCTTCTTAACACTAACAGATGAGCACCTCTAATCGTAACACTAGTACACACGCTTCTTAACACTAACAGATGAGCACCTCTTATTGTGACAAACGTAACATACGCTTCTTAACACTAACAGATGAGCACCTCTAATTGTGACAGTAGTGCAGACGCTTCTTAACACAAACAGATGAGCACCTCTTATTGTGACAAATGTAATACACGCTTCTTAGCACAAACAGATGAGCACCTCCAATTGTGAAACACGTAACACACGCTTCTTAACACTAACAGATGGGCACCTCTAATTTTGAAACACGTAACATACGCGTCTTAACACTAACAGATGGGCACCTCTAATTGTGATACACGTAATACACGCTTCTTTACATTAACAGATGGGCACCTCTAATTGTGAAACACGTAACATACGCGTCTTAACACTAACAGATGGGCACCTTTAATTGTGATACACGTAATACACGCTTCTTAACACTAACAGATGACCACCTCTAATTGTGATACACGTAATACACGCTTCTTAACACTAACAGATGAGCACCTATAATTGTGACACTATTGCACACGCTTCTTAACACTAACAGATGAGCACCTCTAATTGTGACACTAGTGCACACGCTTCTTAACACTAACAGATGAGCACCTCTAATTGTGACACTAGTGCACACGCTTCTTAACACTAACAGATGAGCACCTCTAATTGTGATACACGTAATACACGCTTCTTAACACTAACAGATGAGCACCTCTAATTGTGACACTAGTGCACACGCTTCTTAACACTAACAGATGAGCACCTCTAATTGTGATACACGTAATACACGCTTCTTAACACTAACAGATGAGCACCTCTAATTGTGATACACGTAATACACGCTTCTTAACACTAACAGATGAGCACCACTAATTGTGATACACGTAATACACGCTTCTTAACACTAACAGATGAGTACCTCTAATTGTGATACACGTAATACACGCTTCTTAACACTAACAGATGAGCACCTCTAATTGTGATACACGTAATACACGCTTCTTAACACTAACAGATGGGCACCTCTAATTGTGAAACACGTAACACACGCTTCTTAACACTAACAGATGAGCACCTCTAATTGTGATACACGTAATACACGCTTCTTAACACTAACAGATGAGCACCTCTAGTTGTGATACACGTAATACACGCTTCTTAAAACTAACAGATGACCACCTCTAATTGTGATACACGTAATACACGCTTCTTAACACTAACAGATGACCACCTCTAATTGTGATACACGTAATACACGCTTCTTAACACTAACAGATGGGCACCTTTAATTGTGATACACGTAATACACGCTTCTTAACACTAACAGATGAGCACCTCTAATTGTGACACTAGTGCACACGCTTCTTAACACTAACAGATGAGTACCTCTAATTGTGATACACGTAATACACGCTTCTTAACACTAACAGATGAGCACCTCTAATTGTGATACACGTAATACACGCTTCTTAACATTAACAGATGAGTACCTCTAATTGTGATACACGTAATACACGCTTCTTAACACTAACAGATGACCACCTCTAATTGTGATACACGTAATACACGCTTCTTAACATTAACAGATGAGTACCTCTAATTGTGATACACGTAATACACGCTTCTTAACACTAACAGATGAGCACCTCTAATTGTGATACATGTAACACACGCTTCTTAGCACAAACAGATGAGCACCTCTAATTGTGATACACGTAATACACGCTTCTTTACATTAACAGATGAGCACCTCTAATTGTGATACACGTAATACACGCTTCTTTACATTAACAGATGAGCACCTCTAATTGTGACACACGTTACATACGCGTCTTAACACTAACAGATGGGCACCTTTAATTGTGATACACGTAATACACGCTTCTTAACACTAACAGATGACCACCTCTAATTGTGATACACGTAATACACGCTTCTTAACACTAACAGATGACCACCTCTAATTGTGACACTATTGCACACGCTTCTTAACACTAACAGATGGGCACCTTTAATTGTGATACACGTAATACACGCTTCTTAACACTAACAGATGAGCACCTCTAGTTGTGATACACGTAATACACGCTTCTTAACACTAACAGATGAGCACCTCTAATTGTGACACTAGTGCACACGCTTCTTAACACTAACAGATGGGCACCTCTAATTGTGATACACGTAATACACGCTTCTTTACATTAACAGATGAGTACCTCTAATTGTGATACACGTAATACACGCTTCTTTACATTAACAGATGAGCACCTCTAATTGTGATACACGTAATACACGCTTCTTTACATTAACAGATGAGCACCTCTAATTGTGACACACGTTACATACGCGTCTTAACACTAACAGATGGGCACCTTTA